ATAAATAATATTGATGACATGCACTCAAATATGAAATTTGAGACAAGATGTGCTGCATGAGATATCTTGGTTCTGGACTCGAGGCAGTCATGATGACTATTTCCTGGGATATGCGCTCCAGTTCACTTTATCCCCAGGTTGAATTGATTTGACATAATTAAGATCAGAGCGACGTCAAAATGATTTTTCTCGTACGTTTACTGCTCGGACACATGCCTATGAATTTAAGTCTTCAACATTTATTCCAGGGCTTCAAAACCTTGTATTTCGCAATGAATCTCAATGGTAACCCCCCAAGCCTGTGGGTGCCCTCCCTCACGACCATGCAAGTTTATTCGCAATCAAGTCGCAATCATACCTTCCATATCACTGTAAGAAAAATTGCAGGACTCATGATTAAACCAATCACTAGAAGTGTCTTTAAAATGACCCTAATGATATGTTATATTAATACTTATGTTGCAGAATCCACGATTTGGCTTCCCCCTTCTCTCTCTTTTTCCTGTTGGCGGCGTCATGAAGGCGATTCAGGACACCCAGACAGAAAGCCTGGTTCACCGTTTCACCATCCAGTGAACCATTCGTGAACCTGTCCTCTAGAGCCAAAAAATGCAATTGGCACCACTTTCATTTTGAATTTTTATCACCTGACAGACTGACAAGCGCTGACGCAATACTGCTACCATTCAGAAGTGAGAATCTTTGCGGGGACGCACAGGATGCCCAACTTTTAGGTGATGTCATGAACGACGCCGATTTAAATGTTCGTCTCCTCTACCATGTACATATAGGTGATCCTCTTAAGAAAATGTACCAGTTTCTTCTCGAGCTCGATGCTCTCTACGGTTCGAGACCCTGAAGGGCGTCGTGGACATGGTTCTTCTTCGGTCGATTCCCGGTCAACACAGAGATATATACTCTACCCATACGTACATAAAAAATATTGCTATTTGTTGGAGTAGACTCTGGATAGGCTGCTTGCAGCATGTAAATCTTCGACCCCGTTTTTCTGAGTTTGAAGCAAATTTTAAGGAAAACTTATTGCTCCTTAAAGTCGCCCATTCTTGATTCCACGATCATATGTGTCGCGTCCGACTGCGCAGGCTATACGGCGAAAATGCAGAAAGTCATTCCTGGGGATATTCAAGCTAATTATATATGAGGGTGAGTCAAAAAGTAAAAGGACATCAGCGTAACATGAATGTAACGTTACATCCTTGTTGTTTCTTGCTGCAGTGACGGATCTAAGAAAGTCAGTCTCTAAACGTTTGGAACCCACCTTGAATATCGACGGACTAAGGAACTGCGTATTAATAGACTGGTGACCATTGATAGACTGAGCAAATGGAACTGCTTCTCTGTCATCAGATTGACAAGAAAGCCATATCTATTGCAACAGCTATGAAAACGTCTTTTATTGTTTCATAGTCAATCAACATCTACACTTAAAGACAAATCAAGAATCTCAAATGTTCAACAGTCAAGAGCAAAGCATTTTCTTAACTTACAGTCGAAATTGGGTGACTTGCCGGCATGAAGAATTAGCTACAGTATTAGTAAATGTGAATGTTATCGAAAGAACTACAAGTATTTGAAAAAACGATCTTTAGAGATATACTACAGAGTGATCCATGGACACATATACATCTATTTAGTTATATCTCAACTAAGGCCTCATTCTCCGAGACTTCAACAGCTGCAATTGAGGAGTGCTCTGGAAAAGGGGCGAACTGGCACATACGCTCTTTATTCTATATCCGTGGCCTTGCGCTGCTTTAGGTGACTAGTCATAGGGTAGGGTGGTCAGCAAATAGTTACGATGCGTATTCAGCAAAGGAATAACAGATTTTTCTATACTCTCTCTATAAAGCGGGCCAACTGCCTGATAATTCCAACATGACTCCCGCACATGCACGCTGAACAGGTTTGGTGGAATAATTTTTGTCCTTTCAAACTGAAAGTGAACATGAGGTGGAAACCAGACGTGAAGAAAGGGAAAAATAGAGGCTCAGTCATTTAAGCCTCTGGAAGGATGTGAGAAGTTGGAAATACCCATGAAATAGTTGCAGATTCAGATGAGGAATAGAATTTTAATTGACCACTGCTGAGTAATTGGTGAAATACATTTGTCCTGAAAATTCAGTTTTATTTCTTTATTTTTTGAAGAAGAGTATATTTGACATCTGAAGATGCAATTCTTTGTAAATTATTATTCATTAACTGGAAAGTAGTGATGAAAGACTTGTTGGAAAAAAAAGTTTCAGCAGCGCGGATATGGAAAAGGGGCGTGTGTTCATGAACATTTTCTCCCTGCATCCAAGCTATGTGAGACAAAGAAATTAATTAAAACCCAAAGTTCAATTGGGAAAAGGACCAAGATACCGTTTAACTGAAAACTGAGTTTAGACCAGCTGCAGATGAGCTATAGGAAGTTCTTATCTTTCATTTCGAATTGCATCTTTTGCTCATGCGCCCCTTTGGCCAGAGAACTCCTCAATTTATAATAAGACGGATGATGTCTCAGATGATGCAAGTGTTCATTAGAATATTTATTGTAATAGAAATGCAAAAAAATAGAATCAGCATCTTTGGAATATGATTGCCATATATAATCATTAGTGGAATTGATCACCTTAGCATTGATATTGCATCATATTCAAATCACTGCAATTATGAGTCGGGAGTGTTTCGCTTTGATCCATCTCTCCATGGCTGAGGCTGGGGGCGTCGGTGAAGCGCAAAATGAAACCTGGATGGTATGGCCGTGCGAAGGGATCCATGCCCGGACTTTCGGCATCGGGAACGCGCGAACGGAGACGGTGACATCATGGTCACGAGAATCGATCCGTGGGGGGGTTGTCGGAACTGGTGACTTGCAAACGGGGAAATATAATCCATGTTAGATAACACATTTAGATCGCATGGGGGTACGTCTCGGGGTTGTCGGATCTGGTGGCGGGTTGTCTGGTCGTAGGCTTGAGTAGTCTGGCTCTGTTGTTGTAGGTGTAGCTCTGTGTTCTGCGTTGAATTTTGTATTCTCCGCTCTTCTTTCTGGAAAGGCAACAAAGTATAAGGCTGCAATGTAAAACTTGGTTATGAAGAAACCTCGGTTATAACGGCGAAGAGCGCCAGATCCCGACGTAGAGCCCATAAGGTACGTGAAGTTTTACCTCGGTTATAACGAGCTCGGTTATAGCGTGAACTTCGGTTATAACGATGTCCATTCAAGGTTCCACTGGCGAAATAGACAACGTTCGTGTCTCCAATTCTTCATTCTTAACTAGAATTTCCATAATCGAAAGAGTGAGCGAACGATAAAGTTATAGCGAGCCATTACTCCATCTTTCCTGAAATCAGCATTCCTTGAGAGTCATGTAGGTGTGACTGGAGGAGGGTAAGTGACAATCTTTAGCGATCAAAAAGATCATATTGTCTTCAGTCGCCATTTGCATTTCTCGTTGAGAATATGACCAGTGAAAAGCAAAAGTGGCAAGTTTTCGCACTTAAAAAAAAGCATAATTCGTTTAATAGGAAAAGGGCGAAGTATAGCTGACGTCTCTCCTGAACATAGACTTTCTATTTCATTTACATCCACAATTTGGAAAAATCGTGACAGCTTCATCCATACGAGGGTTCTTCAGAAAGTTCGACTAGTCGCATGGAAAGAAGGCACTACACCAGGATTTCTCGATGTCACCTGAAAGCTCATTCATTTATGACCTCTCGACCCAATCACCACCAATTTCCACACACTTTTTGAGGCGGTAAATCCACCTTTCATAGCAGTGCGCAAAATCCGCGTCAGTCAGCTGGGACAGCTCATGATTCACAGCAGAAATCAGCTCTTTTCGATCCGCGAACACTTGGCCTCGAAGTTTGGCCTTAATTTTCGGAAAGAGCCAGAAGTCACAAAGAGTCAGATCGGGAGAATAAGGGGCAAGGGACACTAAATTGACACCAGAGGCCCCAATGAATTCTTGAGTCTTTTTGGTGGTGTGAGCCGGCGCCTTGTCATGGTGCCATTGTCAAGGAACTTCGTCTTCAAAAGTTTCTTTTGGTCTTCACCGGGGGCCATGGCTTCAAAAACTTTCGGCAAGCACTTCTCGACGTACCAGGCTGACGTCACAGTGGCCCTTTCCTCCAGAGGGACTGAGGCGACAATCCCATTGATGCCAAAAAAAATGGCGAACATGGTTCTTCCCACTGACCTGGATCGTTTGGCTTTCTTCGGCGGGGCAGCTCCAACTTCAGACCAAATCATGGATTGGATTTTGGTTTCAGGGTCATCATTGTAGAACCAGGTTTCGTCTCCAGTGACCAGCTTCTTGAATTTGGGAGACTTGCCGTCTTTGAACAGGGCCAGGAATTCATGGCACGATTTCACCCTGGCTTCCTTTTGATCATCCTACAGGATCCTCGGAACCCAGTGGGCAGCCTTCTTGCTTAAGCCGAGATCTTCATGAAGGATCTTCCAAATCGATCCAGCACTGATCTTCAGTATGTCGTGGATCTTCCAGATGGTAATCCGGGCATCTTCAGGCACTAAAGCCTTCACTGAGTTCACCATTTCTTCATCCGTCGCCGTTTTCAGTCGTCCTTCACGCGGATCATCTTTCAAGCTGAAATGCCCTGTTTGAAATTGACGAAACCACTTGCACACAGTCGAGACCACCGGGGCTTGGTCGGGGATCACTTCTTTCAACCGTCGAAAACTTTCTGTCGCCGTTTTCCCAGCCAAAAAATCGTAGAGCATGAACGCACGAAGGGTTTCGTCGTCAAGGGTGGGCGGTTTCGATCGATCGTTGCGCTGACCACCCTCATCGTGCTCACATTTCTTTGTTTCTGTCTCCATCGTTTCCTAAAATAATGAAACTCGGGGAATAAGCTTTTCGATAAATGAAGAACACCCAGAAAAATTTACGACCGTCTCCGACGACGACTTTTGACCGACTAGTCGGACTTTCTGAAATACCCTCGTACTTCAGTTACTGGCATAAGAGATGAGTCTCTTTGCTCCTGCATGATAATAAGTTATATTGAAATTTCTTGAGTGTGGATGAGATAGATGGTGGTCTTCAATTTATGTAGCTCTGGTGCGAAGGCGTCACTTTGGGATGGGACATGGTATTGGTCGTTCTGGGGACCTGGAAGAGGTCCAGCCCAAGGCTGCTGGGTCCAGTGTCCTGGCCAAGCTGGCCAGTGCCTTTCTGAAAGATGCCCTGCGAATTGCAGGGGTTACCCGGGTCACTGGGTGCTTCTTGGTTCCCATGGCAACTGGGATGACCCTCACCCTCTGTCTTCTCAGCCTGAGAAAGCAGCGACCTCAGGCACGATATGTCCTCTTCCCACGAGTTGATCAGAAGTCCTGCTTCAAGTCCATCTCTACTGCAGGTGTCACTCTCAGCCCCCCTTTCCTCCTCCTCCTGGTCATTGTTCATGTTCAGGGCCAAATACTTTCTCATATGATGTTTCTTAGTGATTTTTAAAAAAGCATTTGTATACTTTCTTTGTAGTAATCAAATTTAGAATGTTATATATTTTCTATTTTAGCTTCATCGTGGTCTGGTTGACAATGTGGTCTCACATTATATGGTAAAAATTGTATAAAAAAAAGGAACATATGTTGTCTTGAAAACCTAAATCCTATGCATATAAGAAATATGCCCTCTATAGCTTTTAGTCTAGCCTGAGAATTGCAAATTTAACTTGTAAGAAATGACATTGAAATGAATTGAATAAATGTGAACATTGACAGGTTATGAAGCTGTAGTAGTGGAGAACTATCGGAGTGGGGATGAGCTGAGCACAGACCTGGATGCCCTGGAAAAGGAAGTTGAGCGACTTGGTGCATCCTCTATCGTGTGTGTCCTGAGCATCACATCATGCTTTGCTCCACGTTCCCCCGATGACATTGTCCGCATTGCCACACTCTGCCGCAATAAGGACATCCCACACATCATCAACAATGCTTATGGGGTTCAAAGCTCCAAGTGCATGCATCTAATCAATGAGGCTGCCAGGTACATCTAAAACCCTTTGTTAACAAATAAGAATTTTTGCAGCTCTGGTTCAACAGAAGTCCCAGATTTAACTGAATAGTCAACCTAGGAATAAACATGCAGGAAGTAAGTGCCTCAAACAAAAAAAAAAAAACCATTTTTCTGAAAAGAATTTAAAATCAATATGCAATTGTAATGATGTTTGTGTAAGTCTGTGTGACAGAAGCTTGCTTCAGCCTTTTTAGGGTATTCTACTGCTTCATACTCCAGAAAATATTTTTCATAACTCACAAATGAGTTAGATGTTTTCATAATATGTACATATAAAGCCAAGGTGAATTATATCAGTAAATATAATATTGTTGTGATAACCAGCTCACCCTAATTTAGATTGAGAAGTCAGACTGTGTTGATGAATGCAATGTGCTATTGATTTCTGTTGTTCCTATTGGTGAATTTTCCTCATATGTTTTTTCTGTTTCATACTGTCACTCATACTGATCCTGATTCAGTCTGGTCACTCCAAGTGTGTAGGCCTATCTGCAGATGGAAAAGCTAAATGACAAGGAAAACTACACAAGGAAGCTTTTATCACAATATGCTTCTCCCCCTAAATTACACCACTTTCATAAGAGAGGCTGAAGAAATATGTATAGGGTGACCCATTTGATAAGTTTACCAATGAATGGCCATGTACAAAAGAAACCACTGGACAGAAGAAGCTGAAACTTGGCATGTAAACAGTCTGAAGTATGGGCTTCTCGAATCTGTAGAAAAATAAAAAATTAGAGTCAAAAGATGGCACCACCAGTGCATGTCACGTGGTCTATTGCAAAGCAAACCACTGGATAGATGAAGCTGAAACTTGGCGTGTAAACTACTGGCAGCATGGGCTTCTAAGGATGACAAACAAGCATGGTGAGGCACAAGTGTTAAAGCGATCTGACTAGAGCTGTTGCTCGATGTGGGCTCCATGCTGAGCGACGACAGCCTCTAGGCAGGGTAGGACATTCCCAACTGCAGCTGAGAGCATTTCCTTTGGGATTGTGGTGATCTCGTGCCGTATGGCAGTCTTCAGGTCAACCAGCATGGTGGGACCATGGCGATAAACACGGGACTTCAGGTATCCCCACAGCCAAAAATTAGGCTGGTGTGAGGTCGGGAGATCAAACAGGCCATTTAAATGGGAAGTGTCTGCTGATTATGTGATCTCCAAAATGTTGTTGAGCAGAGCTTGAACGTTTCTGGAGACATGAGGAGGGGCACCATCCTGCATGAACACAACTTCATCCAGAACGTTTCACTGCTACAGGTCCATGATGACGTGCTGCTCCAATAACCGCCTGTAGCTCTCTCCTGTTACAGTGACGGTTTTGAAACTGCACTGTGGGTTCTTCGAAGAAGAAGGGGCCCAACAGGAAGTCCTGTGTGAATCCACACCACACAGTGACTTTGTCATTGTGGAGAGGCTCTTGGACAATGGCACGGGGGTTCCCCTCTGCCCAGATAATGCAGTTTTTGGTGTGGAATGTGCCATGGAGGGTGAAGTGGGCTTCATCACCCCAAAGGATGTTTCCAAACCACATTTAATTAATTTCCACGTGCAAGAAACCCCATTGCAAAGTTGAAGCGCCTCCATGTCGGCAGCTGACGAAGCCTGAACTCGATGAATCTGATATGGAAACAGCCGAAGCGCAATTTTCATCATCCTCCAAACTGTCTCTACTGGAATTCCAGTGCGACATGAAACAGCCCTTGCACTGACAATACCAACATGCGATGTTGCACCTTCTTCCTCTACAGTCAATGCCACTTCTGCAGCCATGTCTTTGGAAACCCTACGGCCTCTTCTCTTCTTCAAATTGACCACAGATCCTGTCTTTTCAAAATTTGCCACAAGCTTTCCCAACGCTGCTTGCGAGCATGGACCTTGGTGCATGTTGTGGCTTTGACAGTATGACCTTAAGGTGGCCTCTGGATTCCTTCCATTTTTGTCAAACTTCTGTATCAGTTTAATCCTCATAGTGAGCGCTAGCATGTTGATTTGCAATAGCTAGGTTCCTTACTCTTCCAGTCCATGGTCATCCTCTGATCTTTTATACTGTTCACTGGCCACGTGACATGCTCTGGTGGTGCCATTTTTTGACACTCAATTTTTTTATTTTTCTATGGATTCAAGAAGCCCATACTTCAAACTGTTTACATGCCAAGTTTCAGCTTCTTCTGTCCAGTGGTTTCTTTTGTACATGGTCATTCATTGGTAAACTTTTCAAATGGGTCACCCTGTATATGTGGAAGGTTTCATTGTAGTGCACCATCCTTAAGTCATTAGGCCTATGGAGATAGATGGCAGGCATCACCCTCTGGCACTCCCCTTAGTTGCTAATGCGTATAATAGAGAGAATGGAGAAATGGAGCAGATATCACCACACCTAGATGGCATCACTCTGATTCCCCTTATGAGTCTGGTTGCTCCCAGCCCTTTTCTTAGAAAATGAATTCATATTCATTTTCTAAGAAAAGGACTGGGACATTCTATGACTAACTCTCAAGGACATGATTTAGTCACAAGCAAAGACCATGTATGTCCCTTTTACTGCATGTTAACTGTATAGAAATGTGTGATTTTTAGATGTGCCCTTAGGTTTTTCTCTGTCACTTTGTGACTTATGGGAATGGTGGTATTGAATGATACTGAAAATGATCAATGATGCCAATTCCTTTAAAATCCATATCACATAGCCCTAGATGAAAACTGATATAGTATCTTCAGGGTGTCTGAAAGTCACTACATATTTTATATTTGAAATGACTTGTAACTTTTTTGACAGGAACAATGGTTTTTGTGTCAAAAGAAAGAGTGTTTGATAGGGTTTTATGATTTCATTGATATTTTTGTTTGTAGTAACCCTCCATGGGGCCAAAATTGAATATTCGATACTGTGTGTAAATACCTACCCAGTATGAAGTGTGGAGGTGGAAATGGGAAGTTGCATCCAAAGCATTCTCCTTCCACTACCACCTCTGAACCATGATAAAGGGCCTCCACACCTCATATTGGAACCCTTTCATGGGTAGTGGAAGGAGCATGCTTTAGATGAAACTTCTCATCTTCTCAGCCTCCATACTTCATACCATGCAGATTATTTGTGCTTGGTGTTGAATATTCAAATTTGGCACCATGGAGGGTTACTGCAAACAAAAAAGACAAATGAACTTATAAAACCCTATCAAACTCCCTTTATTTTGGTACAAAAACCATTGTTCTGATTCTAGTTATTAAGATAATAGTTATTACAAATAAAAAAATATGTAAAGACTTTCCATACTCTCTATATATCTATACCCTTATGTCTAAAAGTATTAAGAGTGTTTCACCTTGAGCTTTTTTGAGATAAAAAGTAAACTATGAAGTAACTCCTGTATATGTGACTCCTGCTGGCATGATTGTGGTTCTGGTCATTTATTATCAGCAGTCACGTAGACAGGATAGGTAAAACTTTAGGGTGAAGTTGGAATAGAGAAGCTTAGTGAGACCTGTTGTTTCTCTTGAAGACTGGGTCGGGTGGATGCATTTGTGCAGAGCACAGACAAGAACTTTCTTGTTCCGGTGGGAGGGGCCATTGTGGCTGGGTTTGACAAAGATCTTCTCCATAAAATCTCAACTGCTTATCCTGGTATGTTCAGCTTTCCCTGTCCTCTGGTCATGATTCTGGATTTAAATTTTGGGTGCTTGGCACTTATTTATTTTGAGAAATTGTTTACCCATTCATATCAATCAGAATAGGTCTCCAAGTCCATCTACCTTTCTCTTTTTTACTCCTGCTACAGTAGTCCTAATACTTAATGAAAACCTTAGATCATATCATTTGTTGAGACCTGATGTTGATCCTGTTGGCATGGATTGGAGAACACACAAAGTGATCCATTTGCATATTTTTAAAATGATGGAATATGGATTGCTCTGTTTTGGAATGTGATCACAGCAGCCAAAAGATTGTGGAACTGGTAGGCTTTGAGTGTTATGACAGCACTCGAAAGAGTGACTCTAGAATACCTACCTACCATGAGAATGACTCTTGAAGCTATATCTTCCTGACATTACCTGCCATCAATCACTCACTTTTTCCCATCTCTTCTCAGTTGTGTTGCAGAAAATGTTTTTACTTATTTTTCTTCAAGAAATTCCAAGTTTAGTTTTCAATTTTCAGGATTGCTCTGTGATTAACAATTATCCTATGGTTTTAGTTGAAAGTATTAAAAGTCCCATTTAGATAGATATGTAAGAGCTTCTAGTTGGTTTTTGAAATGGAAAGTCTTTGCCTGTCACAAAGTTAAGTATGCTTTTGCATTTGATTTCAGGAAGAGGTGTGTGATAACATTAAAAAAATTATTTCAATTCTTGCTGGCATGAATCAGGCCGAGCTTCTGCCACAGTGGGTGTGGATGTTCTCATCACCCTGTTGTCCCTTGGAGTGAAGGGATGGAAGAAGCTACTTGAGCAGCGGAAAGAGCATTTTTCAACCCTCCGGGCTCAATTGGAAGAGGTGGCTGCAAAGCATGGGGAACGGGTATTGCACACTCCAAAGAATAATATATCCATTGGTAAGGATTTTGGTTTGGTCCTTTTTTTATTAACAGAGTCTGGGTGAAGTAGCAGCCCAGGAGAGCAATATTCTATTTTTCAAAGAAAAGTGTTGGAAAGTTCTGCTTGGAGCTTTTGCTTTGTAATGGCTAGGACTTGGGTATATCTTCAAATAGGTTCAACAGGTGTTAGGAAATGACTGAATCCAAGTCTTGGGTGATTCACATCAAGATAAAGTAATAGATTTGTCATTTGAATTTGAGATTCATCTCTTAAGAATGATATTCTATTTCTGATTCAAATCGACCCACACACAATTTGTTTCTTTTTTCAATATTCTGATGTGAGGGTATGACCAGTCAGACCTGTCTTAAGTTTTTTTTGTTGGATCATTGAAAATACTGTGGCATTGTAAAATATGTATGGGGTGTTCAAGAAGTGCTTTCACTTCATTTCCAGCAATATAGTTTATTTCAACTTCTTGAAGTTTCTTGAAGTATCAGCTCCTATGCTTATTTTCATCTCTTGAACCAGCTTTGAAAACATGCCTTAAGGTATTCTATGGTGAAGATCAGCAATATCTATTCTTTGCCTTCAAGCTTCTCCTAGGACTTTAAGCTTCTTCCTTTGGTGGCTCTCAATTCATGGAAAGTCTGAGATATCACAGGAAGCAATCAAGGGAAAAAAAAAGCACAAAATAAAAGAGTGAATCAACTCACTCTCTGATTCCTAGGAAGTTTACCATTGGATGGGGTAATTTGGGTGTAGGAATATATTTTGCTTCCATGAGAGAGGTGCCATGCCCAGGAAAACTCTTTTTTTTTTTTCTCCACTTGCTTCCCCTCAGGAGGAAAAGAAAGGGGGAATGTTCCTCTAATTTTCTAGATACAAGCTGCTAATGGAAGCTTTCTGCTTCTGATGCTGATATTAGATGCACCTATGCAAGTTTGGTCATGTGAATTTTAAGGGATTACATTTCATGGAACCTTATAATGATTGGATGTACCATACATATGATCATCAAATTAAATATGGTAATTGATGCAATTTTCTCAATAGCATAGCTCTGAAGGACATTTCAACTCATATTGCTGCAATTGGTGATTACTAATGTTGCCATAATTATTTGATGTAAGTTCAATCTGCAGGGACTTCTAACATGCTTGCCAGGTTTACTTGCATGAATATGGAAGGTTAAATTATTTAATTTTTACATAATTTACAGGAATGACTCTGAGTGGTGTCAAAGAGGAGGACCTGACACGGCTGGGTTCAATGCTGTTCCTGCGGAATGTCTCAGGGACCCGGGTCATCACTACCAGGGACCTGAAGACCATTGCCAACACCACCTTCATTGGTCTGTATCCTACTCTCTCTCTCTCTCTCGTATCTTTATCTCACTGGAATGTGTACTCTCTTTTCTATATGGGAGTCGATTCCCCTTGTGCCTATGTTATGAACCTCAATACACAAATACTGTGATTAGTTTCCAGATACATTGACTTTCAAGAACATTTCCACTCTTTGAATTTGAAGTGACTGGGCATAGCAATAACTTCAGACAGCACTAGTAAGCAGGGCTTCTTTATTGCCTTGGATATAACAAAGAAACATTTGTCATTGGCACATGACAAATGTTTCAAGAACATTGTTGATGAGCTGGAGACTGGAGAGGAAGGTTGCTGTGTGTTAAGTGGCACATTAGGCATACTATGATATATTGAATCCTCATAGCCATGAGCTAGTAATTCTATTCCTTTCCTATCTCAAAGGCTAATTTTTAAAATAGCCTGTAATGGCCACCTGTCAAACATGGCCAGCAACTGAGAAATTGCAGACCCTCTGTGTTGGCCACATCTTTGCAGTTTCGGTAGCAAGAAAATGATCAGAATGTTGACCTGCTGCTAGTTCTGTTTTTCTTGCTCCTTTCATTGAAAGGTGTGCCTCCTGTGCAAAAGTATCATGATGTTTTTGGAGGGCAAATACAAAATGAGTCAAGCCAATATGAGTCAGGGACTCGCTATGACAAGAAAATATGAGAAAATATGAGTCAGGGACTCACTATAGTGAGTTAACTTGAACCTTGCTTCTTATGCTAATGCTTTTATTTCCAATAAAGAGCAATTCTCTATTTCATTATGCAAAATTAATATTAAATTTTCAAAGACATACTATTGCATTCACTGCCATCCAATGGTAGTTGGGGCTGGATCTACATTTATGTCCATCAGGTCAAAATTGTTAATTATTTTTCTGCAAACATGAAGCTTCCACCATTGATGATTTAACTTTATTTTCCAACAATGTAAGAGGAGAAATTGCAAAAATGTGGAGTTTGGCACAAACAGACTTATTAAAAAAATTGGAAATGACCACAACCTCAGTTCACTTTGAGCAATATAATTACAGTGTTCACTATAAAGATTCAGTGAGGTATTCTCCTTAGTTCACTAATAAAAATTTATTGTCACCAGCCCTGAACATAAAGCTTCAGCTAGGACTCTGTTGCTCTAGTTCTCTGCTGGTCAGTACACATCTTTTCTAATTGCTTATTCCAGATTCCTCACTTCTGCATATTGTTTACATGTACAGGGTGGTGCAAAAAAAACCAGTCCACTTTTAAAACTGGTCTAGAGCAGGAACTATTGAAGTTAGCAGGTTCAAAAAAAAAGCAAATGAAAGTTCAATCCAAGCCCTTTCCAAAGATGTATGGTTTTTTGTCCATGGGTGGCATGGAATGGCTGTCATGGCCAATTGAAAAAATCATACCCCAAAAAAAAGTAGTAAAATGATGGGAAAATTATTGTTCCACCTCAACTAACCTTTATTTATTCAAGAAATGATCAATGTGTCCTCCTTTCTGGTCCACCACTGCTTGCAGTCTCAAACTTGCAGTCAAACTAGGCAGTTTGTCCCCAGCTCACACTGCAAATGAAACTGTGACCCTTTTGATGGAAAACTGCCCTGATTTCATCGAGAAAGAAAACTGGCCTCCTAACAGCCCTGATCTCAACCCCATCGATTACTTCGTTTGGTCTGCATTGAGCAGAAAGTGTACCGTGGGGTGAAAATTCGAGACGTGGCTCATCTGCAAGAACGAATCACTGCTGCTTGGGAAGAGCTGCCCCAGGATTGGATTGCCAAGGCAATTTTGATGTGGAGAGAGAGACTGCAAGCAGTGGTGGACCAGAAAGGAGGACACATTGATCATTTCTTGAATAAATAAAGGTTAGTTGAGGTGGAACAATAATTTTCCCATCATTTTACTACTTTTTTTTGGGGGTATGATTTTTTCATTTGGATTAAAAGTCCAATTGTTGTAAGATTGCCAAGGCAATTTTGATGTGGAGAGAGAGACTGCAAGCAGTGGTGGACCAGAAAGGAGGACACATTGAACATTTCTTGAATAAATAAAGGTTAGTTGTGGTGGAACAATCATTTTCCCATCATTTTACTACTTTTTTTTTGGGGTATGATTTTTTCCATTGGCCATGACAGCCATTCCATGGCACCCATGGACATAAAACCATACATCTTTGGAAAGGGCTTGGATTGAACTTTCATTTGCTTTTTTTTTTTGAACCTGCTAGCTTCAATAGTTCCTGATCTAGACCAGTTTAAAAAGTGGACCAGTTATTTTTGTGCCACCCTATACATCCACTTTGGATTGTCCTACTGTCTCCACTACCCCTCTATTTATGCTTAATGTCACTGCTTCCAATCATAGCACTGACATTCCAAATGTATCTTTCTGTTAATTTCCCCAAGGTACAACTTGGTGAGGGCAATATTTGTGCATAAATGTAGGCTTTCCTGGCTTACAAGAAGCATATTTACCCTGACCCACTGTTCTCCTTAACCCTTTGAAGAGTGAGTTTTTATAGAGTTTTTATAACGCCTAGAAGATCACCCATGGTGAATACATGGAGGGCAGGAGGATGTCAGCCTGTATATATACAGGCACATTCGTCGTCAAAGCTGAGCTGCTTTGAAGCCATTAAGTTAAATGCCTATTGCATACAAATGCATTCATGTTTTACATTATATCACCTGAGAGTCAAGACAGAACCACATGGAAAATTAGGCATGTATTATTCAATATGTCTTGCTCTATCCTGATCTTGTGAGTTAGTTATCCAATATCATTTTAGTGTCCTCAGCTTGTTTTTTTAGCTTTGAGCAGAATTATTTGAATACAGTCAACTCTCATTAATCTGAATGCCAGTAATCCAGATCTCCCTTTAATTTGGACATGAAGAATGTTACCAGTAGAAGTCCCATAGAACCAATAATAAATTTCTCCTTTTAATCTGGACATCGTTATTCTATATTTTCCATTTATTCAGAACAGTTTTCTTATCCCCTGAGCCATTCTCCCCCATTAATCTGGATTTTCCAGCAATATACATGACACAACAGGAAAGAATAGACTTCCCTGTCTTTTTTCGACATCTTGACTTTCACTCACCCTTGGATTTAAGATAAATAAAAAGAGAAAATGTTCGATCTCCCCAATTTCCCGGAATTGAGTCCTTTCATCGTCATGTCACTCATCCTCTCTCAGTCTAACCTGTTCTTGCCATTAGAGGCACGAGAAGTTTCTTACCTCCTATTAAGAGTAAGTGTTCTTGGTGTGATCCCACCATGGGGGGAGGAAGTTTTGAAGCTATCAGACTTAGGCCTCGTCTGCAAAAGTTTTATATGCAAGATTTTCCAATGCTCTGGGAGATTCCTTCAAAAATCATATTTTTCAACATTCTTTAATCATATATGCAAGAAAAATATCTGGTGTGGACTAGGCCTTAGTTGAAAGATAAGTTGAGGTAGCATGTGATTTGAATATTCCAACATTGACAGTGTCTGATATAGGATATATAGAAGTGTCACGATGAACTTGAACAGGGTGCTGGCCTAGCTGGTCTCCCTCTTGTGGAAATGAATGTGAAGTGCACGCTTTGAGGATGCATGTGTCGTGACAGATCAAAAGAACATTGTCCAAGTTTTCCTATTTCCATGCAAATAATGAAGGCCTTCTTTGCACATATTAGGTGCAGTTTACTTTTCCAGGAAAAAAAGAGAAAAGAATGGTCACTCTGCAGGTACTTGATAATCTGGATGAGCCATTAAACTGGACAAAATCACCAGTCCCCTTGAGTCCAGATCAACAAGAGTTGACTGTAGCTGGTACTGTGATTTGAGGAATCAGAGAATGGAAGTCAACATTGAAAAAAAGGAAAATAGAGTCCATAGTGCATTCTTCTTGCTTCCTACTTAACTTAAAACAAACATCTTCATATATAAAGATTGGATATTATATGGATATTATTATATACATAAAGAATGTGTGGCTCATGTGTCTGTCATATAGGAATGTAATTCAGCAATAAATAGTTTTGATAATGTATGTCACACTATTATACTTGTCCCTTGGGGCAAGTAACTCATGCCCCACCATGCATGTGGTGGGGCATCAGTGGGGGCACCCAACTATCACCAAGTTGAACAGTTAAATATATGAAAGGAGAAGACATTAAAACTAAAATTAAATATGCATAACACCAGGAATATTACAGGCTTATTGGTGCCCCTCTCTACTTATGGGGACATTACCTCATATGGCATCCACATAAAACTTAACAGACAGAGTTAACCTTGTTTCAACTTTCAATTTCACAGTCTCTCAAAAAAATAAACCCTAACTCAAGATGATCGGCTTATGCAAAGGATCCAAAATATAACTTCAGGCTCACTTGACTCCATTCCAATATGCATTCCAGGCAAAATGTGTGTTCGCATGATTCTGGGGTCCCAAGCTCCTGGTATTGAAACTTGAGAAGACATATTGGACATTTTTCAATGTCATCACCACTCAAAGAGGAGTCTGAGTCACCTTGAAACACATCACTATTGTCCTATGGAAGAAAATAAGCTTGATCATAGAATGCATGTAGCAGTAAAGTCATGAGTTTAACCCCTTCACTGGTGAGTTTTGAGATACATAAGGAAGGTCAGCCTAAGAACTCCTCAGTGATACCAGTGAAAGGGTTAATGTCACAACAATGCATAAGTTTACTCACCATCTCTGTACTCTCCTCCTCACCTATGTCTATATCTGACTCTAATTCCTCAGCTTCTGATGAAGAATCAGCATTTGAAGGTTCTGTAAAATAAGATCACAAAATGTATGTTATTAAAGAATGAATGTGTATGGCAGTTATTCATGTCCCTCAAATATCAACCAAAGCACAAATTCATAAAGTCTGAGAAAGCCTAATACACTGTAGGCCTAAATCAAAATAATTATGGATTAACCTTCATTTCATACCTAGAACAATACCTTCCCAAAAAAAAAACATCTGAGTGGTGCTGGCCATGAAAGGCAGAGGTGTTCACCCCTACAGATCCATAGCCCCAAGGCAGTCTGGCCCTTCTTGGTTCCTATCTTGCACATTCCCTATGACCCTGTTTCATTACCCTTCTTGCTAGGACATGAACTCAGTATGAGAAGGAGGGACATGTATAGGTCTGCCTAGGTTTTATTTGGAAAGGTAAATTCAGGACTATGTTCTCACATGCAACCAGTAATCTTCAAGAAAACAAGAGCATCCCATATGTATTTCTCACCATAAAGCAGTCTTGAACTACTTCCTTATACTATAAATATCTCTAATTTCATCAGCTGGAGATAGCATACACCTGCTCTAACTGATAAAATACAGTCCTCTTCCTTTGTTGAATGCAACATAATGGTTTAAAATAACACTACCTTTGATTAACAAAAACCTGCAGTAAAGGAGGGTCTATGTCATCCTGTTATTGCAGAGAAAAAGGAAGAGGTTTCAGTAAGTCTCCCTAGAAGCAGTTTAGTAAGTTTGATATGCACTGCCTGAGAACAGCAAGCCTGGTTATTAGTTTCAATATGAAGCAATCCAGAGGGTGGCTATACCTTCACCTTAACACCAAAAGTATAAATCCCCCATACCCCTCTATAATTTTTTTAGTCATTACTCCATGAGGGTTGTTAATCTCTCATTTGGAAGTAAAGAAAAAACCACACATGATGTCTGCAAAACTGATGCTTCAGCATCAAAGCATTGGAAAGAAGAAGGTTCCAAAAATGAAAGTTTCCACATTAAGTATATACTCACCTTACTAAACCTCATTTTCCAAGTAATACTCAAACATCCCCCTTTGCAGGAGTAAATATAAAACATACTTTGTGGCCTACCTCATTGTTATAATGAAGCAAACGTGCAGCTTGCAGCTGCTCCTGCGCTGATAAAAGTTTGACCTTTTTACTACTTTTTAAAGTATGGGAGTAGAAATCTGTACGGTAAGAGTAACTGTACACATTTCTATTTGTCTAATCAAAGGAAAGCAATCCTACCAATCCACTTTGACAAGGTCAACAAGTGTCTCATGGCAAGCAACCATAGCATCATTCAAGCACAAATATCATGCCCTTATGTTTTGTTTCCAAGTGAAATTCCAAAAGTCTCATCTCAACTCCAGTAAGAAAATAATCTACAAGTTTAAGTGTCCTGCAGTAAATTTTTGGAGTGGGATATGACAACCTTTTCATACATAAACCTATTATTGGGATTGTGGCAGGGAAAAGGGGATAAAACAGGAAGTGACCCTATGAAGGCCCTAATGTAGCAATTACAAAGGAGAAAGAACAGCCACTCAAACTATGCATAGGTCATAGTTTTGAAACACTATGTGGTTCAAGACTACTAGCAAAGGCCTCCTAAAGGCCCATGAGTACCTCTGTGCATGGCCCTACATCAGAAGCCAATTGCTAACATTTGGTTTGAGTGATCTGTATGGTCTTTGAAGTCAGTAACCTCACCATTTGAATCATGGATGTCCATATTGGGATTCTCATCACCACCAATTCCACTGACCATTATGTCAAAGGTTTTCCAGCTGGGCCTCACGTATCACAGAATGTAACTTCTGCAAGAAAGAAGCCAACATTATCATGTCATATGATAGCAAGAACCCTGAAAACCCCTTAACAGGCCTTTCCAATGTATGGATAAAAAGCCAGATATGTAAGGGGGTGACTAGCAGACAAAAGCTAGAGGCAGTTAGTATATATTTATGGTTAGGTCATGAATACATCAATGGCCTTCATATGGCAGTGCATTGCTAGCCTTGAGCAATCAGAACTATTGGACATAGTATCTGTAGTCACCTCCGAATGCCACAAGTGCTCAAACAAGGAGGAAGAACTCCAAAATCCAAAAGCAATCACAGCTGAAGCCCTTCTTGAGCCATATCATCCACAATCATAAATGTTCTCAAACAGCCTCAAGACCAAGCAACTCACCAATATTAGCAATAACAAAAAATAAGTGTGTGTAGGGTGAAGCAGAGTCTAGTTGAAAATGGGTTAACCCAGGGGTGTGTAACCTTTATCAGCAATTGTGTCTGACTTCAAGCAGGCCATAGAATGCAAAAGTAAAGGCTCCTCTCTTTTCCCTCAGGGCATATGAGAGCATAAGGTTGTGCTGATTGGCCAATGATCCTTTCCCCCACCACACCCCTAGGAAATTCCAACACCCAAAATTAGGTTTCGGCATTGAGTACCATCTTCCTTGAGACATATGTAGCACCCCCACATGAGGAATAATTAGGGGAAGAAGTGAAAGGTCTCAGTCAATCTCTAGTTACTTAGGGATGACCAAAGTTGTGATGGGCCTGGGGCTGCAAAGAAACTTATTTTACTTGTTATTCCATTATGCATTACCAGGCCACATGTGGCCTGCAGATTGCACATCCTTGAGTTAACCATAACAATGTTGCTTTATTTAGCAAGTACACAAAACAGACTTATGCTTAAAGGCTGAAACCTAATTAGGGCGAGATAAAAGGGATTTTAAGCTAAACAGCTCCTTTTCTCATGGAATTCCGTGGATTTAGAGGACTTAAATAAAGGGGGTTTCAGCACTTGGACATTCTGCAAATTTAACACACCACTCTTTGTACTTGGACATGCCCAATTTAAAGCTAGGCTAAAATGTTTACTTTAATTGCACATATACTCGTAAATAATATTTCATCCATATTTCCAATCTCCTGCAGCAATATTATTTTCTGCCCATATAATCACAGATAGGCCTGTTCTTATGATGTTGGGCTTAACGTAAGCCCAACATCGAAGGTGTTCGAAAATGACCTAGGTCATGGGCCTTCGACATGGGAATAATTTGAACATCAAAACCAGCATAACCTATCAAATGCCACTTTCCAAGCGATGGGGAAAATGTGAGATTTTGTTACAGGATCCTCAAAGGGGATGGAGTTTGTCCGGGAGGAGCCATGTTGCTGTTGACGTAAAGAAACTCCCGGATGTAAAGTGGCCTACGATCCCTGATTGGTCGCCACGAATTCTCAGATCTCTCTCACTTACCACGCTCTTAGGCTCTTCCTCCTCCAACACCTCGGTCAGCATGGGTCGTATGCACGCTCCAGGGTGAGTTAATCCTTTCCCGATTATTCATGTCGAATAAATTCTAATTTCCTTTCTTCCTACCTACGCCTACTGTTGCAGATGTAATCTTTAGCACTGGTTACCGGCTCATTGTAAACTCGCGACAGCCCAGGACTTACAGGCCTCGAATCGAATCGAATCACTTTTTATTCAGGACGAATATTAGAGAAGAGGTACAGTACATTATCTCGAAACAGTTAAACCTTGTGCTTATTGGCCCAGATGATAGCTAACGCACGAAAAGGTTTGTAGAAAGGGAGAGGCACAAGTCAGGGCACAACCCGGTCTCTAAAACATTGGAATAACAAATGAAAGCAGGAAGAAAGAGTCTTAATTAACACATTGACCTTTTATGCACTTCAGGCCATGGGCACCACCAGCAGCGTAGCGTAAAGAGGGAACACTTGCCCCCCAACTTGAGAATAAAAGCAAAAGTAGGTAGGAAAATACATTTAATGCATGGGAACAGTGCCTCAGAGTTCCCATACCTCCCCCACTTTTTCCTCCACTTGCTCCACTTACTAGTACCACTGCCTTGCTGGTAATGGTTAAGTGCATACCCCTTAGAAAAAGTTCCCAGTCTGTCCCATAATATATTGAACCTATCCATTGTATACCCATACCAAAGTTAGACTTATGATATGGATCTGAAACGTAGTCCATTTTTTCAATAGCAGGTTGCATGTATTATAAATATAAACATGGACATATGGGTTGGTGTGATGAAAAAAAATTGTTTAATTTTTTACTTAATGCAAAATTGTGTCATAGCTGGAATGAAATTATTTTTCACACATTTTTTTTAGGTTTGGTGACATTCCATCATTTGGATCATCAGGCTAATGGTGCAGAAGCTATATGATCCATCAAAGGCAGTCAAGATTATCTTTTAAGACTTTTATTCATTTTCTTTTGACTTCAGCCATACTTTCAATGATCACACCTCACACATTAGTATGATCATCAGACATGTTGCTGAAACCATGTGGTATTATTGAATAAATGCCACATTTGAGACTCAAACAGTATTTCCTATGCTGCTAGCATTTTATTTATGGTGGTCTTATGCAGCCTTACTTAATCTCTCTCCCACATGTCATTGATCTAGATATCAGCTAATATGATGAGAGTGGGAGAGAGTAACATCAACATAGGATAGGGCCCACAACTCTGGGTCTTCCTTATCTTGGGAACAGTTGACAGCAAATTTGGATAGTACCTCTACCTGTGTGGATGGGTTAGCATAATAAATTCTCACCACTTTTGATGGTCATGAAGACTAATTCAGGTGAACTATTACAAAACCTGGCTTGAACCCAATGCAAGAGGAAAGTGATGCACATTTAAAAGAAGTAAATTTTTGCTATATTTTTTTAGGGCTCTTGTCACCTATATCCATTTCAAGAAGTGTGAATTTTAGATTTTTTCCCCCAAGAAATTTAGAGAGCACTGTTTGAAAACCAATGTAATTAATTTTGGCCACTCGGCTGATATGGTAGCTTCATTTTGCTGTGTCCAGTTCATGCCAGCAGCAGTTTAGCATTGAGGGCCAAGGGGGTGCATGATAAGTGTTCCAGAGTTCCTGTGCCCCCCACCACACTTTTTCAATCCATGCTATGCTATGCTTATGCATGGCAGTTTTCCATGACTTCATTAAAGTTGGTTATTGTATCTGAAATGCCTGTTTTGAGTGAGTCAAATTGTACATGTCTTACTGTGCAAAGAATTCTTTTTTTTTTGTACCTGAAACTTGTATTCTTCCTATAGGAAAGGCATCTCGCAGAGTGCCCTCCCCTATCGCAGAAGTGTACCAACATGGCTCAAACTATCATCAGAGGATGTCAAAGAGCAGATCTTCAAGTTAGCCAAAAAGGGACTAACCCCTTCACAAATCGGTTAGCAAGGAAGTTATTAATCCATTCTCCATATCTTCTGCCTAATGTGCTTGAGCACATGTGTAGACCTTTCATCTACAGTTGCATATATCTTTCTCCTTTTTATTTTTCAAAAGTTTCTGTGGATATTGTACTATTCAAATAGTTTCTTTTGAGTGACTCCTCTTATTCTCAAAGGTGTGATCCTGCGTGACTCTCATGGAGTGGCTCAAGTGCGATTTGTCACTGGGAACAAGATCCTCAGAATTTTGAAGGCCAAAGGTCTGGCTCCTGATATACCAGAGGATCTATATCAGCTCATCAAGAAGGCAGTGGCTATTCGAAAGCACTTGGAGAGAAATCGGTCAGTATCTTGGTCGGGCGTGTCTGCATTTGAGCTTTATGCATGATGTGTGGATATTGGAACTTTCAATTGGGGTTAATGTGATCCTTCTGAGGTGCTTTTCATCTAAAAATGGGCAGAAGTTTTCATTCAATTGAGGGTTTTACAGTACCTTCTTCTGAGTACTGCCTCCATTAGTTCATGACCTGAATTTGTCATTTAACATTTACTCATTTCACAATTTCTTTGGAGTGTCAAAATCTTGTGTGGAAGTGGGAAAAACTCCAAGCCCCAGGAACTTGAAAGGCATTCAAGTGCCTTACATTTATTCTCAACCAAAAAAAAAGACCATTGTCAAATGACCCTAAGGTGAAGTCGATCAACATGAGTGTAACCTGATGAAAATTGTCTGATAGGTGTCAGTGGGAAATATCCAGACTCTCAGAAAGCTTATAAATTGGTACTAACACCCAGCTGCTTGTCAGAGGGATAACATGTTCATATCACCTCTCATGCATTCCCCAAATGCTTGAAAAATTAAGTGAACGTGGCTCTTGAAAGGCCCTGAAGACATAGTCATGGCAGTAAAGAAAAATACAGTGGAAACTCATTAACTCAAACTTTAAGGGCAAATCATCTCAAGTTACCCAAAGTTTTACTTATCAGGAATTGCCTCTACCCTGAGAAATAGTATCTCAGATTAACACATTCGCTGCCAATGACACTCGTTTCTATGGAAAGGATAACTACAAGGTGTGTCATTGGCAGCGAACTTGTTAAGGGACACAACCAGAGGGTGATTTTTTCATCCTCATGAATCTGATTTCAAAAGGGATAAATTCTTTATCATTGGCTTTTTTATGCAGAAACTTTGATATGTGCAATATTCATATATCAAAACACCCTTCATCCAGTATTTCAGTTTTACTCTTAGCTGGCTTAAAATGAATATTCTTCATTTTTTTCAAAAAGTAATTAGCAAAAGAGATGGGGAAGTCTTCCAATTTGCCAATTACCTTGACCAAGTCTACTGGTGCTTCCTCTTGTGAGAGGTGGAATTTTCTCACTACTGGCAGTGCAGTACTGAGAGGGTTAAAAAAAAAAAAAAGTGCACCTGTTGATGGCAGTGCTCTATGTATCACCTGGAGTTATGGTGCTTAAATATGGCACAATTACCATGGATAGGTATCCTGCCAAAGGTCACTAGGTTGCACACTGCTCCCTTTTATGGTTAAGTCACAAGGTGCTTGTTCCACAAACTTTTCAATGTCCCCTGTTGCTTCCTTAGTTTTTGCTGGACTACAACAAAAGGAGGTGGAGAACTTTCCTAGACAGTTAAGCTTTCCATTAATACCTGTCTCACTCAGGTATGATCTACATGAAAAAGGAGTTTCTAGACAGACAGTGGCATCATTATAAAGATAGAAAATATTAGGAGTTCCATGGGAAACCTTGATGATTTGATGCCACTTGGTTGAAAATCTACAGTGGTGACTACCACAATTTCTGTATCCATATACATAAGGTAATTAGTTGGTATCACAATCATTCCACTTGACTCTACGAATCTTTCTCATATTGCAATAACACTGCTTTTGATCTAAGACATTGAGTAACTTCAGTATCGATACTCTCAAAACCTGATAGTAGGATTACTTCTCTCATGAGTTTGCATTGAACTAAAGTAGTGACTGATGTCCTAATCATGGATTTTCTGTTAATGCAGGAAAGACAAGGACTCCAAGTTCCGCTTGATCCTGGTGGAATCACGAATCCATAGGTTGGCCAGGTATTACAAGAAGAAAGCAGTCCTACCACCCAACTGGAAGTATGAATCCAGCACAGCTTCAGCACTTGTTGCTTGAAATCATTGTTTTATGTGTTGGAATAAATAAGATCACCAAGATAACATGATTTTGTATATGTTGTCTTTGTCTTTCTAAAATATATACCATATATGGCATTCTGATGAATGACTCATCCAAGAAACAAGCAAGGCAAAGTTTCGCTTCAGATACTCTGTGTCACTCAGCACCAGGAATTTAGTATACAAGGTGATTATAAAGAAACTTCTGCACTTGAGCCCATAATACAAGGTCTGTCCCAAAAGTATCCAAACTTCAGTTACAAATCAATTTCCCATGTGGTATTTATAATTTTTATTATTGATTATTCAAAATACGTCCCTTCCGAAGAAATGCAGGCTTTGCAGCGATCATACAACTTTTGGAAACACCTCTGGTAGTCTTCCTCCGAGATG